TTGAGTTATATCGCATGGTTGGATTCTAAAGCCATCAAAAGAATCAATTTTGTGATTTACTGCTACAATTAATAATTGTCCCAGTAAATGCCCAAACACTACATTACATTTTGGCTATGGCAACGTTACACAGGCATAAATCATTTTAGTGAAACAAAAGAAGAGAGATTGTGTTGAACACTAGACAGAGACATACTGTATAGAACAGTTAAGTAAGGCTACAAACAGGACAAGGTCCTCTGTCCCTTCTCACTTGTGTGCCTGTTAATAATTTATTTAAGTTCTACTAGGGTATCAACATTTCAAACATGTTTCAAACATGGCGAATTCTATTTCCACGCTTTAATTAAGTTAATAAAGTGCCTCCTTTTCTTTTCTCTATAATTTTCAATTGTCCATAATCAATATTATCGGAAAGTGATTCTGCATAATCGATGCCTTGTACTGTATATAAAACTGTCTTGGTATTTTGGCCGGTATCTGCTTTGTCAGGGAGTGAGTTGATGCGTTTGATGGAGCGTGTGCACCAGGGTGACCGTGTGAGGATATACCAAGGCAATGTTGTGAGCCACAGTCCTGGGCTTCTCTCTCTGTCCCGAAGCAGTTAGCGCCATTGTTGCGAGGTGGGGGGTTGATACAGGCACGTGTGCGAATCTGAGTACCCCGGCCGCACGTCACTGGACAGTCTGACCACACGGACCAGGGCGTCCAGCCTCCATCCACTGCAACAGACACAGGAAAGGCTATTAACTGGCACTGGCACTCCTCACGCCTGAAACTTTCCTGAATGTTGCTTTCCAATATATGGTGAACTGAGTTAGAATTCCATTAAAAAGAAAAGTGTTACTTTAGTATGTGCTTTCATTCATTATATTATAACCGACAACGATATAATAATCTAGGAATATTCATTGTACAAACGAAGAACATACTGTACTCTGTATTCCTATCCTTATTGCAGTAGGATTGGAAAGTATTCTGTGCTGGCAGTTGTGGGAACTCTGGATTTATAGTTTTTATTTTAGGGAAGAATGTTTGTTTAATCCTACAATATTTCATGTAGTGCTCCAGAAAGTGTTTCTGCCTCTCCCTGCTGGCAGTGGGAGCATTGCCTGTCCTCTCTGGGAAGTCAGGTCCATTTGTGTCCATTTTTTTGGCCAGGCTGTCGTCACTGAGCCTGTATTTCATCAGGGTCTGTTTATATTTTTTTTACTCTTACCCTGATCAGATATTCAGGTAGTATGCATTGTTTTTTTTAGGGTCCTGTAGCATTGCAGTTTGTGTAAGGTAGTTCTGTTTGACTTTGATTTGTGTTGTTTTAGTTGTGCTGTCCTGGGGCTGGCCAGTTTCAATGGTCTTCAGGACCAGCTGACTGAGGGGGCTTTTTTCTGGGGCTCAGCTCTTTGTTCAGTAGGGCCGTGTTGTGGAAGAAGTGCTTTAGGTGTAACCGGTATTTGATTGCTCTCTTTTGTACAGCATATTTATTATCATTCGGTGTTGGTCCAATGTGGTGATGAATGCATTGATTGGTGTTTTTCTTTGCACCTGGTGAATGTTTTTCTGAACTGTATGTGCCTCACTTCTAAGAGGTGTTTTATTTAATGTAATCCTGACACAATGATACAAGTACTATGCACACATTCTGAAACACATTCACACGTTCAAGTGAGCATATTGTACACTATGTGGTCTTGTTTTTAGACATAATTTCTCTCTTTGTTCACCCTAGGCTTCCATAAACAAATGCCCTGTTTCCTGCAGTTTAGTACTGTAGCTCACTGAGCAGAGACCCACCTTGACAATCAATATCCTGGCAGTAATCTCCCTCAGGGGTACAGGTACTGCAAAAGAGAAATACTTAGGAGATGGAGGAAGAGTGATCATTGGACCAAGAGACATTGGAGCAGAGCAAGTCATAAGATTAGAAAATATTTCATATGAAGTAACTTAGAAAATGTCTTGCATGGAGACAGCTGACTGGAGCAGAGCTGATTTTCTGTTGATCCACTGGAGCCAAGAGATTCCAGCAGAGCAAAAATTATTCCTGTCTCACAGGCCAGACACATGCTCAGGGGTGTGGGAAATATACAGCACTGACTAGATTTTAAGGTGAGCACTGCTGATTTTTCTTCTCCTTGGCTGACCTTGTCTATAAAGTTTCAGATAATAAGTAATGTTTTGGATTCAATAACAGTTGCATTGTAAATATGTAACCCAGGTCATATTTGTTTGCTATAGAATACAGCATACCCCTTTGGGCTCAATGGCCTCCTCTCTTTTGTAATGTTTTTTATATCATTAGATTTTTCATCACCTTTACTTAGTTGCATTTCTCCTTCCTCCTCTCCCCACTGACTTTTTCCTCTTCATACCCGCAACGCCACTCACCACTGCTCACACTCTCCTTGCAACCACGTGTCTCCTATTGACAGCTCCTCATTGTCACGGACACACAGGGGAGGGCAGGGCCCCAGATCACATGGTTTATTTTGGGACTCTTCTGATTGGCAGTCTGAGTCAGCTAATTCTGAGGTCTGCGACCTATTGATACAAACCAGAACACTACCATTAACCTTCAGTGGCAGATATTGCAACTCAATATTTGAGGGACATACAAAGGTAAGAACAGGAATGACCATGAGACGTCCTGTATTCAAATTCATGTCAAATTTGGAAATTTCATACACACTGCCCTGCAATGTATTAAAACAGGCAGGAAAAAGGTAAAGTATTTTACCTATCTTCTTTGTGGTCTACTGCAGTGGTATACATTTCTGTTCAAGCCAAGTATTTTTTTTAAGTTCAAATAATCAGAATGCTTTAGTCTTTCTCAAAGTAATTCAGCACAGGGTATCCCAAACCAATTCATTCCACAGTGATGCAATAAAATCTTTTCAGATCCAATACAGCTAGAACCCAGTCCAGACTATAATACTGTAGTTCTTCAGTCTGATCTTCAGTTTCCTGACAAAGTGAAGTATATTCTCACATGCCTGTGACTCCAACGAGTCCAATGCTATTTTTTTGGTCCAGTTCAATCCAGTGCAGTGTAGCCATTGTTAAGTTAAGTTAAATGTTAAGTTAAAACTTAAAGTCCCTTGCAGGGCCGAGTCACATCAGGAATAAGAAAGCAAAGAGAACAGAATTGTCCATGGTCCTAGTCTAATATTATAGACTAGGATTATATATAGACTATATATTAATAGTCTAATAAACTGGAATATTAGTAAGCAGTAATATTGCTATCCAATCATACAACAGGGTGGACTGAAGCAATTGGGATAAAGTTCCTTACTGGGGGATATGAGTGTTATTGTAATTTGGAGACTTGAAACCAACCAGAGTCCTGACTATAACTCCAAGATGCACCTGTAATTATGCAACAAACTATGCATTGTGTAATGTGCTGGTATCCACCTGAAGCGTGTCCTCAGCCCTGGCCCACAAGAGGTGCTGCAGGGGGCCCAGGGGGACCAGACACTCCAGACACAGCTGGCTGCTGCAGCGCAGCTGTGGTTGGTGCATGACAGACGGCCCTCTGCGCAGCTGCAGTTATTGCAGCCTTCTTGATGTCTGCTCCCTGGAGCCCATCTCTGCCCCAGAGCATCTGTGCACTCACACTGCCAGGACTGTACACACACTCCTTCCTGCTCCAGTAAGCCTACAAACACAGGAAACAAAGAAACAGTGACTGGCACATGCATTAGACAAATGTCCCAGTCGGAGATAAAAGCACAATAATGTAGAGAAAGCTAGGACAAAATAAATGTTTTTTTTTTCTGCGACTATGTTACAAAAAACAGAGAACATGCTGCAGAATCAGCAATGTCTCCAAATCTTAGAAAGCAGACAAGCAGGTGGATCATTCAGAACTAAGCATGATACAGTAAAAGAATAGACTTACAGAATAGTGAGTTCCAATGGACCTCTTTATATGGTCATTGAGTTATCTCATGCTCTTCTCATTCTTCTTTAATGAAAAAGCATCTGTAAACTACTGTTCAATCAATTGAAGTTGAAACATCACAAGACAACCAGAAGCCAAATCATTGCTCTTCTCTTTCCCTTTCTTTGTTTTCCTATGCGTGTGTCTAGAAGGGACTATAACTGTATACACTTTACATACACAGACCCCCACTTCTGCCATAGTGGTGTCAGCCTCACCTGGAGGGCAGCGACAGCCTGGCTGACATTCTGCATTGTCCTGGCATATGATTCCCTGCTGGAGATCAGAACATAGCCGCGGACACCGATTTGCACACTCCATATACTGCTGACCTGGGGGACAGCCACTGTCATCTGGAATTTGAGAGCATTGTAAGAAGGGAAGCATTGTAAGAACAAAAATAGCATGTGAATACCTTGTTCACTTCTACACTTGTGTTCATACTGTAGATAATATGCCTTAGGGTGAAAGGCATGGCTGGAGCTAGGGAATAGTCAGAGGTTTTCAAACTGTGGGTAAGAACCTGCTAGAGGTACCGTATACAAAGACCATATGTGGGGTTTAACTTCAGTGAAGTATGGAACATTTTGAAAAAGAGATACAGAGGATTTGTAATATTCTTCAGGAGGGAAGTTACAACAGTTTCAACCTGGAAACAACTAGGCAGCCAATTAATATTGTTGTTTTTTGGGTATAGCATTGATTTGCAGGCTGATTATTTTTATCAAGCTATTTTATTTGCTGTTGAGCAGGAGAATATCAGATAGAGTGCCTTTTGGACGGCTGAGGCGTTTAAATAAGCATCCCAAAGTCTCATGGAGAGAGATATTGGAGTAGATAATAAACACAACCAAGTGGACACCAGATGGTTTGACAACTGTAGGCAGTTGCCCCAGAAAACTGTGATAAAATCATTTAGCAAAAGGTTTTTGAAAAGTAAAACAGGAGACAGCGAGTGACAGCTTCATAACTCATCAAACTAAACTCTTTAAAAAAAAATCAGGTACTAGAGATGACTGAAGACTAGATTTTTGGGAAATGATCTGTGTGTTTCATACTGTATTTGTGAAATTAATATTCCCTATTACATCTACCTGGAAAAGTTTGTCACCCTTGTTGATCAGATGCAAATTTTAGGGACGAAAGCTTTTTAGCATTAGGAAGATCTGGTCACCAGATTAGGATTAGTTATTTGAAATAGCTAAGAAATCATACTTAATTATGAAAATTGCTGAAAGTGTTCTTGCTTCCACTTGTTAAGATTTCTGCAAACTTCTAAGTGCATTAGGGTTTTGGCCATTACAGTAACTTAGAGGGGAAAGGTTAGATATTACATTTTGTAGCACAAAAACTAGAATGTAAATAGTAGTCATAAATATTAGCTTTTTTTAAGTTTTTCATATGTAATGATGTATTGCATTAAAATAACTGCACTGCATCACTTTGTATTCCAGACTAGTGGGGTGTGTTATTAAACTTTTAGAAATCGCTTGTTGTCCAGATTCTGTCATGACAAACGATTTTGCCTTTTAGTTGGCGAAGAATTATTACATAACCTCTTCTTTTGTCCATAAAACCCCCTATTGAGTACAATACAATTCTAAAGCATAAATCTTGGCTGTTGAAAATCAGATGTTAATACTGTACATGTACAGTACTCAGGGTATTCCACTGTGTTCTGAGCTCCAATCTCTTCCTATTTTGTATTCATATGTTTCTTTTTGGTCATATTGTATATTTACCACAATGGACCTGGGTTTCACTACTATACTAATGACTCTTAGACACATCTGTAGACAAAATCAAACATTATACTGTAAAGGGAGTTTCTGACTGCATACTGTAGATGCCTTCCTCATATTAAGATACCGATATAACAGGTGTTTCTTAAATTAAACTATGACAAAAAAGTTATGCTCATACAGTAGGATTCCAAAATCATATTCTCAAAATTTGTGACTTTAGTATTGCTGTTGACAGTGTTGAAATCATACCTTTGATGGAAACTAGAAGCTTTTGTGTTACTTTTGACTCTATGATATCATTTGGTGTGCACTGTATGTTTAGAGCATACTAAATGTGTTTTTCTTCTGCTGCACAATATTGCTTGGATCCTTGTTCTGCTCATCTGATACTGAAATATGGATTCATCATAACGATTAGACTACTATAATGTCTTACTGGGGTTTCTTCTAAGGTGCTTAATATGCTTCAGTATGTCTAGAGTACAATTCTACAGTTCAAGTGCTAACAAAATACTGCTCAACAGTATAGAACTACCAATGTAAATTGTACTGACGCTCTGTGAAAGTAGGCTCTTCACGAGGAGAATTCTACTGCTCATAAGGTACTGAGTGGTATAGTTACAGGTTATCTTGAAGACCAATTCTTAATCTGATATGATATTGAATTTATCAGATCTTTGGGGTTGCTATTTTAAAGCTGAACCAAGATGACTGTGGCCCTTTATCAGTATGTTACCGACTGGGGTACAGCAACAATGACTCTCAAAATAGATTGCATATGATAATAAATACAAACATGTATTATGATTGTGCCTGAGAATTTTTAGACTACTTAGCAGTAAAAATATAATGTGTTAACAGTACAGTATATTAGGAGTTCACAAAGCGAAGTCCATTTCTGATCATGTCTCACCGCAGGGTCTGGTGTTGCAGTTCTTAACCTGGTTCTTCTCCCCTTCACATTTGTTGCCCCCATTCTTGGGGGGGGGGCTGGTGCACGATCGTGTTCGAATTGACCGCCCACCCCCACACATCCTGTCACAACGAGACCAGGGGCTCCAACGAGACCAGCCACCATCCACTGAAACACAAATCAAACTGTAGTTGTGCCTACTGAAACACACCAACCACAGCCTGTCTTACTGAGACATGATAAACTTCCCCTGGGTCAATCAAGTACCCCATGAAATGTTGAAAATCATATTTGTATAACCTGACAAAAGTCCAAGCTTTGCACTTAAAGCCATCAATCAGAGCTCTCAGCACTGAACCTCCGATATTTCTCCATTTATTTCCCATTACTCTATGACTGACTTTATCAATGTACAGTACAGTAGCGGCCTGCCTGTTGGACTCACCCCTGCAGGCTCTGATGTTACAGAACTGGGTCTCAATGTTTCCACCAAGGATGTCATCACACCACGTTCCATTGACTCCAGGTGCCAGGTAGGTTCTGATCCGATGCTGCTGCCCAACACCGCATGTCCTTGAGCACATGCTCCATGCCGCCCATGCTGTCCAAGAGCAGTTTCTCTCTGCACATTCCTCGCCGCGGCACGGCACACCGTCTGACAACACACCACAGCGCAGATATCAACGTTTGCTTTACTTACTAGAACAATTAATGGCATTATCCAAATTGTTTTTTTTTCCCAATACAAAAGCTATGTGCAAATAAAACTAAGCAAATGGGATTCTACTGCTGGTTTGAAGTAGTGTGTTTGGGGATACGTCTGCTTTTTTGTTCATAATTCTAGATCCTGGGGACCTAAAATGTGCAAATATTTAAAATGTACTTATTTCTTTTTGAAATAGTAACAAATTACACCTACATGCACATAACATTCGAGTTACAGGCCTGAAGGGAAGAAAAGAAAATACAACACACACCGAGTCTGACAATGCGTTACCAAACAGTAAGAGAAATGGGGAAGTACTGCCTGTGCCAACAACACGGCGTGAGGCAGGGGCTGTACCAGGGCACTGGGGCAGGTTGCAGGCTCTCTCCTGGTGTGTCTCCCCAGCACAGGACTCTCTCTCACACTGTCGCCACCTGGACTTCACTGCTGGAGCCGCTGCATCGCTGCAGGACCGCGAGCATGGACTCCAAATACTCCAGGGACCAAATCCATCACTGGGCTCTGTGGAGATGTGCTTTAGATAAGTTAATTCAAACAGGTAAAAGTACAATTGTCAGTCCACAATTTCAAGGTCCCAGTGAAGCAATTGCAATGAAAACTAACCAGAAAGAATAATAGTCTACTTTTATTATTCAATTAACTCATGCTTATTATGAGTTAATTGCTTAATTGCTCTGCTTGTTAAATGGGATGATTATACACACCTCTTCTAAAAGTTTAAACAATAGGACAAAGAAAAGGGTCAGGCATTTAGCAGAATTTAATTTGACAGAAGTATGTCTATGCTAATGTATTTTATCTAGCATTCTGCCTACATGGAAATGTACTTATGAATTCACACTTGAGAAAGTTATTTTCTTTGGGAGAAAAAAGAGAGCTTCACTATTTAATTAAGTCATTCAGTATAAAGACTCACACAGGATTTGCTGACAGACACTTGGATGTATTGTAGCATGAATACAATACATTACCACAGAGTCTATACAAAGGGGTAGTCCACCTTGGCACTTCCAATTCAGTTACAATTCAATTAGAGGATTTCGAAGCTTATAAGAAATTAAGTACGGGCCTACAGTAGGTGCTGAAGATCAGTTTCATAATTAAGTACAGAAGTAGAGCACAGTTGCTCAAGACTGATATGTCAACAACCTCTGAGTCATAGCAATGTATCTAGTTGAATGAAAGAAAAAGAAAGAAGACACTTTAAAAAAAGAGAATTGTAAAATTTCTAGAAAGCACTTTAAATGTATCTAAACACATTTTTGGTAGTTATTTTTGTAGACTTATAACTCATCTTAAAATTTAAACAACAACGTAATGCAGTAAGTTTAATGCATGGCTTTTGTTTGAATTGTCTTTGATGATGCCCCCTGACCTCCATTCCTACATCATAATTGATGGAGGAAGCTTTGATGATATACGGCATTCTTGTCCTCTTCAATCACTCCCCGATAAATTGTGATGCAGGTTACAGAATATCAGAAAATATCAAAATTGTGATTTCTGGATCTACAGTTTTCTGCTGAATTCATATCCAAAATTTCAATGTCAAATAAGAGAAATAAGAGTTAAAACCCTTTTACCCCTCTAAATTATTGAGAGAGGAGTTAGAATGTGATTATTACTACGGGAAGGCCAATTCAGAGCGTTTGGCTGTTTTGAGCAGTGATGGATTGAGGTGTACCCTGCTTTGTGGCAGTTTTATCACTGGGCTGTATACGAGCTTCAAACGACAAACCATAAAGTTGAATAACATTTTGAAAATGAGGAATAGAATATGGAATGCATAGTGCTCAAGGAAGTATCCACTCTTTTCTGTCTCAGCTTCACTGGAATTAGTTTCTTTAGGAACTAGGGGAAGAAAAAAAACTGGACACTTAATAATAATAATAATTGCTTACACTTATATAGCCCTTTTCTGGACACTCCACTCAAAGCGCTCTACAGGTAATGGGGACTCCCCTCCACAACCACCAATGTGCAGCATCCACCTGGATGCGACGGCAGCCATAGTGCGCCAGAACACTCACCATACATCAGCTATCAGTGGGGAGGAGAGCAGAGTAAAGTAGCCAATTCATAGAGGGGGATTATTAGGAGGCCATGATTGATAAGAGCTAATGGGAAATTTGGCCAGGATGCCAGGGTTACACCCCTACTCTTTTCGAGAAACACCCTGGGATTTTTAATGACCACAGAAAGTCAGGACCTTGCTTTTTACGTCTCATCTGAAGGACGGTGCCTGTTTACAGTATAGTGTCCCCGTCACTATACTGGGGCATTAGGACCCACATGGACCACAGGGTGAGCGCCCCCTGCTGGCCCCACTAACACCTCTTTCAGTTGTACATAAGTTGTACATAAGCAGTCATAGAGGGAACAAGAGTTCTGTTACAGTGAGGATTTACCTGGGCCAGAAGGTTCCTCTGTAGGAACAGTGACAACTGGAAAAACAAAGATCAACCAATAATTAATACCACTTCTCATACCAATGTACTTCAAGAAAAAGACTTCAGAGGTGTGGAAGCATGAAAAAGTAATCATTACTCTTGCATTGCTTTAAAAAACATATAGTTTAGTAGTTCAATCAAATTCTAGTGATGACAAAACCATTTGACAAATATTCAAGGATAGTGTACTTATATACTTTAGTGTTAACTTGCCTGGCTGGTGCCAAAGAGCAGAGCAGTCACAGCCCTCCTTACTTACAAGGAGAGATTACATTTAAAATTAAATTGTACTGACTCACATTTTACAAAAAGTCCTCAGAATGTCTGTGTTAAAAGGACTGTTCTTTCTGGGTTACCTGGGCAGTCAGGGGTCTGGCAAAATGTGATCTCATGACGTGGTCCCTCACAATCTTGTCCGCCATTTGCAGGGACTGGGTTGGTGCAGCTCCGGGTTCGAGTCTTCTGCCCTAAACCTCCACAGGACAGAGAACATGACCCCCAGGGACCCCAGGGAGACAGACCCCCATCCTGCGGGCAAGGAGACAAGGAGCAATTCCACTGCCCATGCTGGCATACACTGTCAGGAAAAATAAAAAAAATATGTAATTGTCTGACACTATTCTGTTGGGGGAAAATATTAACAAGGTGTACAATTGTATATTCGTTTGACACAGTTCATTCATAACATGATTCTTTCTCATAGTGAAATCTACAGTAACCCAAAGTAACGCATCTGACAAATAAAAGAAAATGCTAACACATTAGCCTGCTATGGACTGATATCCTGTCCAGGGTGTATCCAGCCTTACACTTGTTGCTTGCCATGACAAGACCTGGTTCCCCTGCGACCCTGAATTGCATTTTAAGAAAATGGATACATGGATAGATGTAAGAATATTATACAAGTTTTTTGCACTGAATACAGAAGGTTGCAAGGTGAATTCGATTGGGCACTGCACAACATCATTCTTCAGGCAGTGAAGAATTCGCAAAATTACTATTACAGTATGGGAGAATTTGACACTATACAGGTTCCTAAAGGCTTAGAGACTAGAGGCTAAGTCTAGAGACATGTCTCAATGTAGGTCATCTTACATTGTCTATCTGTATGATAGTATGATAACACAGCTCACAGCCCATGATTATGTGATGATCAACAGTATTAGAGTAGGGGGGTTTATTGCCATACATACATATACATTGGAATTTTTATTAGCGCTGTTCTTTAATGACATGCATAGTACAGCAGACAAAACAGTAAGAAAGACAACACCACACAATGTAGACAGTACGTTACAAAATGGCACATAATAAATAGTGATAGTATGTACAGTCAGTAAGCAAGCAGAACAATAAATACATGGAAGAATAAATATATGATAGAGTATTTACACAGAGTGTGTGTGACATGATGGGAAGTTTCAGGGTGTCGGTATTCTCACCAGGAGCTGCAGTCATATGTGAGTGTGTCTCCGGGCTGCAGCTCATCCCCCTGGTGCAGGCGAAGCCCGCCAGAACCCAGTGGCACAGCGGCCTCAGCTGGGCTCTTCGACACATTCTGCAAGGCTAAAAGGGTCTCCTCCTCCACTACGCAGGGGCACTCCTACAGCACGCAGAAAAACACAGTAGAACCCAAGCGTTAGACACACAGTAAGTGTGGACATCTTGACTCCTCACTCATTTACGGAACATTGTCCACTTGGTTTGTGCACCTTTCCATGTTCTGAAACTCAATTCTTCATGTTGTGCCAAAATATGGATACACTTGTCTTCAGTATATCCTTTGGAGCCAATTATCTCATTAAGTAAAACGAACAAGGGTTGTATCACATCCCTTCCACTCTCACCTAATGCCAGAACAATGGAACTCTGTCAGAGGTGACAAATGTATTTTTTTTAGTTCTTAATGAGTGGGGATAAACCACACTATGTGATCCTAGCGACGCTCCTCAGGAAAGGTTTTGAGGAGGCAGGGAAGCCTGCATGACTTGGGCCGATAGAGACCGAGGAAGACGGATACTGTAAATTCAATCCACAGTACGCACTATCACACAGGTGCCTTGGTGGTAGAAGGTGCCTGGAGGACAGTGGCAGCCCTCTTCACAGCCCTCTGACACACAGCCAACCCGTCCGGTGACATGATCACAGCTGAATGGGCACCCTTCTCCTCTCTCACACTCCCGATACAGACGGCCAGGCGGACACCCCACCTCTGAAAGGAAAAGAAAGGAGAGAGAGGTGGGAAGAGATGGGAAAGATAGAGGGAGAGTACATTATTAATCTTGTTTTATAACCTTGTATCCATACCGTAACTGTATAGAAATATTTTAGATTATGTACATTCTATGTATTATACAAAAGAGTAGAAAAAATGCCTGATTGATATGTTCATTTGTTGGTTAAGTGATTCATTGATTGTGACCCAAACAATGACAACAGTACAGAACATAACATCCTCATACTGCAGACACTGTACCCAATTAATTAGATACAACACAGTACAGATATTAATAGAGCAAAGTACAGCATTAATCTCTATCACTTGATCGAAAGCAACTCACCCTGAACTTGAATACTACACTCTAGAATGAATTAGTGTTCAGTAAACTTCAAAAAATAGAATTGATGAATATTTTTGTCTAATGGTTTTGTTTAAACTATTTTTTATGACTGCTTTTTTCTGTAACTGTAGTTAGTATAGTTGCCTGCAAAAGGATTTATTATATAGAAGGACAAGTATGAGAAAGAATACACCACAACTCTCTCTTGAATAGAGAGGTGCTTTGGATAAATTATTGAATGATTTAATCCTGTTACTGTAACTGTACATTTTTTTTGCAGCTAAAACCAAGATCAAATGTCTTCAAGGACACTGAAGCTCACCCAGACGGGAGCAAGGTAACCCCCGCTGACAACTAGATACGGCCCGCTGGGAGAGACAGGAAACCGACTTCAAAAACACAAATTCGGACTAAAAAAGGAACCCTCGGGAGGTTTTTTTTAAAAATGTGAATGCAGAACTGCTCTGAGAAGCTTAAAAGGTTGTTTTTTTTTTAGTATTTAGTATATTTTTAGTATATTATTTGCATTAGAATTTGAAAGTAATTAATTTATTAATCAATAATTTAACACAGTATCCAAAAGCAACTATGTATTGTAAAACATACTGTTTCTAATCTTATTGTGTGTTTCTTGTATTCTGAGGAGGAGGAGTAACCTGTGCTGACACTCACCAAGGCACACCTGAGTGTTGCAGGTCTTGCTTTCTTGTCTGGGACCTGAACAGGGTGGAAGGCGACAGTTGCGGGTCCGAATCTGCTCCCCTCCTCCACAGGTCACTGAGCACTGAGACCAGGGTGACCACTCGCCCCAGGGGCCCAAGTCTGTGGGGCACCAAGGTTGAGAGAGAGGAGTGAAAAAAACAAAATGGATGCACAGGCAATTATACCAAAACGTGAATGTTTTCATAATGAGATACTATTACATAAGTATTCACAACCCCCTTGGATGTTTTCAGAATTTCCAGATGCAACTTTTTCATGTTGATATCATTCAAAAACTTGAATGGAATCCATCTTTGTTCAATTCAATTGGTTGATAGGACCTCAAGACATCTGTCTTAATAAGGTCCCTCAGTTGACAGTGCATGTCAGAGCAGAAACTCTATCAAGAAGACCATACAAATCTGTGATAGACGTTCGAGGGGACATAGCTCTGGGATCATAGTTATTGAAAGCTCAGCACAGCCAGGTCCATCATTAGGAAATGGAAAGAATACTGTATGGAACAACCCATATTTTCAAGTCTTACTCAAGCAGGCCATTCTCCCAAACTGAGCAATTGGGCAAGTAGGACCTTGGTTCAAGAAATGACCAAGAACCCAATGACCACTCTGACAAAACTACAGAATTCCATGGCTGAGACTGAAGATCCTGTCAAAGTACAATAATCTCTGCATTACTACGCAGATCTAGGCTGTATGAGAGAGTTGCTAGACAGAAAGTAATAGGATGACTGGTGTTAGTAAGTATCACATGGTAGACCCTGAGACCAGGTTCTCTGGTCTGATGAAAACAAAACTGAACACCTCTTCTGCTTGTCTGCAACCTCTGTTTAAACATTTTTCAGACATCGTTCTCATGTAGTGCTCACACACAGAGTTCTGGATATTTATTGCTGTTTATTTTCTGACCTCCACAGGGCTGGCTGTTACATTCTCGCTGCTGCTCCGCCCCTCCCGAACAACCCCTCCCCCCACCTTGAGGGGAAGGGTTATCACACTGCCTCAGCCTGAACTGAGCCCCGCCCCCACAGGGAGCTGAACATTCTGACCATGCCCCCCACTGGCTCCACCCCCCGTCCACTTGGCATCCAGGGACTGACTGACACTGCAGGACACCATCCTCACAGGTGCTGAAATGGGAAAGAGAGCACAGCATCAGTATCAGCACGTAGCCCTAATTCCTGTGAAATAATTAATGTTGTGTTCCAAATTGTGGAAATCGGAGTGTTTTCTCCAGTTGTAAAGCACAGTATATGATGTTTTGATTTCAGTTTTGTATCAGGCACTGTGGAAACTTGCATATCTAAAGACGATCCAAAATTTGGGCTGTCCAGTACAGGTCCTGAAAGCCTGCTGTGTCTGCAGGTTTTTATTCTAACTCAGCGCATGACCTCCTAAATTGTCTAATTTATTGGCTCAATGGGACCAATTTACAGTAACAGTACAGTAAGTTCCCCCAGCTCTTCAGGTACAATAATTTCGAATGAATCTAATAAACACACACCAACATTGCTGTTCCCAGATCTAAATGCTCCAACACTGCCTGTTTATTAGAAAAACAATTTTGCTGCCATTGCTGGACAAAAGTAAAGTTGTAAAAAAATAGGTTAATGGAGCTAATTTTTGTTCACTCTGGGACAGAGGAAATTAAGAGTAGATTTAAGCACACACAATGCTAGCAGGTGGATAGATGTACTGTAGTGTAACAGTGTAGATGTAACAGATGAAGTTAAACTAGTAGGCAAGTTATCCATTTTACACCAAATAGTAAATTGAGGACATGGGATCACATGATTAAATTGAAGCTGGTTAAGGTTAAGGGAACATTTAATGTCTTTCACATAAATATAAATCACGAGATTGTAGACCAGTATTTATTCATATACCCCTATGCAATGGATCATGATAAGGATCCAGAGTGGTTACCCAGATTCTCTCAGATATGTAATCCTGACATTTTACTACTCCTACCCATGTTTTGACTATGGGAATGAAGTACATTTTATGCCCTTTCTGTGATTCAGTACAACAGTGTATGCTGTCTGATGTTACAATTCAGTACTGTTTTGAAGCTATTTCTGCACTGTATATACTAATCAGTGGGCACTGTCTATGATCAGTTTGTGCAGTCCCAGGTGTGAAAGACTATGCAGTGTGTACAGAAATCAATCTGTGCAGTAATAGTTGTCATAGATTTTGCAGTGTGTACAGTAATCAGTTTGTGCAGTCCCAGGTGTGAAAGACTATGCAGTGTGTACAGTGTAGCGGCAATGCTTGTTAATAAGACAGAATTAAGTGTTGCGGTGCTTTCCCAAATGAGGCCTCATCTCTCCCTTCATCTCTGTGGTGCAGCCACAGAGAAGCTATTCATGCAGGCTGATTTAAAATGTTTTCTTTTGATAAGGGACAGCTCCCAAATGGGGATGCACTTACTGTAGCTAAGCCTGGCTATCATGATCAATGGTCATCCATTGGTGCCTATCTGTCTAGGGAGTGCCAGATGGACATCAGGAGTAAGTGACTCATATCTCACCTTGATCAACCAATCAGGGACTGGTAGGGCCGAGTAACCCATATGGGACTCTGATGCCCATGGAACTTTCAGCCAATCAACGATCTGAAGTTCCTCCAGGTAAAAACAGGCAACATAGAGAGCCTGTAGTAGAATTCTGTGGACTTTTCTAAAGGGAATTAAAAGGGGAATTCCAGGGCAGGACGGCCCAGGAGCAGAAGGCTCCCAAGGGCAGGACATTCTCGCAGCGCGCCTCCTGACCATCCTGAGACTCAGCCC